CCTAACAATAATTAAATTTTCCAGTTATTATTTTTCTTCATCGTCCTAATCCAAAATTGACTTTACCTTGCATCTAATTAGCAATATTACAACAATCAAACTCAAAGTGTTGTAGCAAACCCAAAGATACCTCTTATCCTACTTTATTTTTTGAGAAAAATATTTGTCTCTAACTTTTGGAAGAAGAAGAAAATACAATTAAATATTGTGAGAACTCTACTGGACGGTTTCAGAGGTAGAACTGCTTGCTCAGTCAGCGTTTTGTTTAACTGGTGCTGATCTGAGCATTGGGTTTGCTACCAGCTGTTATATGACCTTGGCCTACTAACCCACAGTCAGTTGGTAACATTGATAACCTCTACCTTGTTATAGGTTATAAGAGATATAAAGTCAATGGTTATAGGCTACCTATTTTACCAATTTTATCAAACATTGGGACGTTTTTGGTAAATCTTACCTTACTTATCTAGGGTTTGCAATATAACCATGATTAATCACGTTTTGAAGAATTTCCCTACAGTGAAGAAGCTATAACCATTGTTGGCACAGCAAGAGATAGACCTGGGCTGTTTTAGTTCGTTGTTTTGATGTCCTCAGAAGCCAAAAACACTATTCCTTATATTGTTATGTGTGCACATATATAGGCCTAATATATAAATGGTAGTGATTGGGGGCCACTATTTTAAAATTTTAACACATAATAAATAACTGAGCACCCTTTAGGAATGTTGTTTTTAAGAAAAATGCATTCAAAAAGGGTACCTTAATAAGTTATTAATGTGTTAAAATGTATCTATATTTTTTATTCTGTAAGCGATTTTTTTTAATTAAAATTGTAAGCTTTCTTTTCTCTTTAGTCAGCATTCAATTAAAATTAAACTTTTTTCTAGGTCTTTAAGTATAAAACATAAGCCATAAACATTGTTATTATCCTTTTGTTGCCATGGAGACGGAACAGTCTTTATTTCCCAAAGAACCACCTCCGAAGTATGAAGGCTTTAAAATATCAATTTTCTCTAAGGCATATGAACAAATCTAAAAGAGCACATCATAAAACTATCATAATAAAATACCGTAACACATTTTTAGAGACTCCGAAAATGAATCTAGCAAATAAACATTTCCTAAACTATCTGACCGGGTTATGAACTACCAAGAACCAGTCTGTGTCAGATGTAAGTGATGGCAGGTTTCAGATAAGGTTGGACATAATTATAACAGGGGCTCATAGCATGCTAGGACTCCAAACATCAATAAACTACCATCAGGTCACTGTAACTCGACCTGACTGTCCTTTGTGTAGTTTTAACATGATACAATTTTAAAATTCATTGTTGACCACTCTAAAAGCAAGAATATTTTCCAAAAACTTATCCATTTAAGTTTTAACCTAATCAAAACCACAGAAAACATACTACTATAACCCAGAATGCCAACCGCATGGTAAAAAGCATTAAGTGTTTTGAGAGAGCTTTGCCTGCCAATTCGTAGGCAGCGCCACCAGCGTTGCCATGCACTCAGCATAGCAACGCTGGTGGCGCTGCCTACGATTGACAGGCAAAGCTCTCTCAAAACACTTAATGCTTTTTACCATGCGGTTGGCATTCTGGGTTATAGTAGTATGTTTTCTGTGTCAAAACATAGAACATCGGTCCACGAGGGTAAAAACAAAGAGCTTAAAATGTTTCATATTAGGCCTAAATAGATAGATTGATAGTAGGTTCCAAAATATTCTTGATGAGTAAAAAATATAATTTAAATCAGTGTTTACAATAATTTGACATATATATTTAATAGAATGAATTTGGCAACTAGAAAGCAAGTTTGCATTAAACAACATTTTAAAATCAAAATTACTGTCAACATAAAACAAAATAAGAGTATACAAGACTATCATAAGACCAATCCTGCTTTATGGAACAGAGACATGGATTATGGACAAACAAACAGAAAGGAAGTTAAGTTTCATTTGAAAACAGAATTCTGAGAAAAATATTTAAGTACCTGTTAGAGAGGGAGAAGTGCAGGGAATTAGGCACAACCAAGAAATAAGGGACATGTACCATTCCCCTGACATAGTAGGCCATGTATGGGCTGGCCCAAGGAGGGAAGATGGCAGACTAATTAAAGAAGTTTGGAGACAAAACCTAGCAGGAAAAAGACCCCGAGGTAGACCCAAGAATCGATTGAAGGACCAGGTGGAGAAAGATTTGCGAAAATTTAGAGCAAGGAAAGAAGATTCAGGGAACAGGGAGAGATGGAGGCAACTTATTAATTGGAGTAAGAGTAAGTAGGTATATGTAAGATAGCAAATGTAATCATGTTTTTATTACAAGTTCTACACTTGCTACAGGTAAAGAAGCTTGACTGTAATTGAAGAATTAGGGTAAAACAACTTTTGTTATGTACCTATCAACAATTTTAAGTGAATTTCCTTTTTTGCTACAAAGGTATGTTGTTAGGCTATATTATTATTTAGGTGAGTCGGTGGCTCAGTTGGTAGCGTCGCGGACTTCGGGCCCAAGGCAGTAGTGTCGTGGGTTTGGATTCTGGTCACTGCCACAAACTTTTATCAGTACAGCTCACCTTTGTACTGTACCGGCTCACCCTTTGCTTTGCTGGATACGTTCCACACACAGACCTGTAGTCTGTGTGGACGGGCAAATGCAAGGTTAAAAGAGGCCGCCAACCTCTTAAAAAAAAAAAAATAAATTATGGATGTGTTGACTTCAAATATAAGAAGGGGTCAGTTAAAAGACTTTAAAAGTTCAGGTTCAAATCCTGTAGATCACCAATAGATTTTATCTAAGTGATAATGCTACAACCCTACAGGCCTAGCCAAATTAAACATTGCCGTCAACTATACTAAATGTACATTTTGTAATTTGTTGGAACAAACTCTTGATTTTTGAAGTAATGTTTACAAAACTGATTTAAACTAGAACCTATATCCTAAGATGTGTAGTTAAGAGAAAAACACACTGAGAAGGTTGGTTAAGAAACGGATGGACTGTGTCAGGAAGCTCTAGTGAAGGAAGACCAACTTATTCCCTAATCAGGTTCCCATAAAAATTTAGGAAATTCATTGCCATCATTCATTAGCTAACTTATTATGACCCATCTTACTATTAAAACCATTTAAGTGTCGTGGTGTCTCGCTCCAAAACGAATTGAGGTTGCGTAAGAAATGCCAGAGTCTCGGAACAAAACAACCAGAAAATCACTTCTTAGCTATTATATTTCAATAAGGCTGGCTGACAGACAGAAGGAGGCTGGCAATAATTATTTGTTAGACAAATTTGGTCAACCAATCAAAAACGATTACACCTCAACCAATAGAAAACAGCTTTACACAGCTGGTCCTTGTGTTCCATATAAACACAATAATGTTTATTGTTTACGATTTTGTTGCTTTAATTTACAATATTTTAGTACAAGGTAAATATATGATTAACCAAATATATTATATTATTGTTGTAAATAAATAGTGTTATTAATTACTAAAACTTTGAAAATTAACAAATCCATACCTATTTCTTTTATTTTTCTGATTTTTTTATGATTGCATGACGTGTTATGGTCTTGGTAGGCCTCTGAGTTGTGTGATTTTTTTAACTGTTTTTTTTATTATTTATATTAACGGTAAGCTATAATTTTGCACTCTTAGTTCATTAATAAAAATCATTAATAAAAATCCACAGTGCCATTTGAGACGTGTTGGAGGACGAGACTCTCAGTTAGTTGATGTGTAAATTTAGACAAATCTGGATTGTAACACAATGCCACTTTAGGGTTAAAGGTAGGCCTTGGACTTCACATTAAATGAAAATCTTTCTCCTAATGATAGGACATCTTTTAGTAATAACATTGACTATACACCTAGACTTCCCACATTGAGACACAGTCTACACAGACTACATTGACTTCCCATGAAATGTAAAAATTTGAAGCCAAGAAAATAGATTAAGTTCAAGAGCATCATCCCACCAGAGGGTACTGTATTGGGTTTAAATATTTAAAAAAATCAATGCAGGGTACTGTATTGGGTTAAATATTTTTTTTAGTCAATGCAGTATCATTTAGCAAACAGCTGATTGATTATTCACTTGGAAATATTCAAAACCCAACTGTTTCTAGAAACGAAATTAGGCCTATTACAAATTACACAGAGCCAGCTCAAGATGGGGGAAATTTGTGCCTTACTAGGGTCTATAAAAGGTGTGTTTTGTCAACGAATATATTTATTTTACCTCTTAAATAACCTATTGAAACTTGTATTTTACTACCTATGCCAAATAATATAATATACGAAACCAAAAAATGTGTAAAAATGTTAATGAACAAATTTATATATAATGACATTTTTACCAAACACCTCATTTTTGTGGAGAAACAACCTGCATTCCTAGCAGGAATACCACATGTAGGCCTGGCAAACTTCAAATTAACATGTTCGCTGCAGGTCACTCACCGGTGAGTGCTCTTCTAGTTCCTTTCTTCCACCCTGAACGCTCACCCGTGAGTGGCGACATCGCCTACATTCCATTAAATTTCTGCGCAGCAGCACAACGGGAATAACGGGTATTTTTATGTCTGCGTTTAGTTCAGAATAAGTTCTATATTGTGATGTAGGTTTGTAGTAAATTTCCCTGTAAAATCTAATTCTGGCAAGCTTAGAAATCAACTTGTTATCCCGTCTTTTAACTCCAATTGGCAATACAATGGACCTAGTTACTTTCAGACAGTGCTACTATCTGTGAGTGTTTCAGCAAACTTTTGTCAAGACTTGTCGTAACGCAGAACATTACCGCACGTTATTTGCTATTTGTCAGACCAAAATATTTGAAAGCCAGACAGGTTCTCTTGACGCTGCGCCGCACCGGGGCTACACAGCTGCCATTGATGGGACGCAGTGAACGTGTTAAATTGTCACCCTCCCCGCAGCACACAAGGGGTTAATTCTATGTTAAAATTATTATGTGATGTAAAGAAGAACCTACCTTTTCATCTTATCCTGGAGACCAAGAGGGTACTGCAGGATGGTTTGTTGACCCTCCATATCTACCACACACTGGGCCCCCAACTCCAGCTCTGAAACAAGCAGATTACTTAATCAGCATACTGAACTTTAGAAATAGGTATTACAATTATTATTTACTGTATAAAACTACAATCTTTGACTAATGATAGAAATAGACATCACCCAGTAGGCGTAGCCTACCTAGCCAGTTTTAAAATGAAAATGGACTTAGTTAAAATAAGCCACTGACATGAGTGTGCTGGTGGTGGCAATTAGTAATTATCAGATACAAGTCAACATTTTTTGCCTAACTAAAAGAAAACTTAAGTTGTAGCCTATTCTAATCTAAACCATAGCATCTTTTACCACATCATCTATCAAAGTAGACAATCAATTTGTTGTAGGTAGGCCTATTTAAAAATTAAGTGAAAATTAGGATTTCAGTCTTAGCCTAGATATATTTTTTGATTGGGTTTTATACAGGAACACTTTAGGCCTACTACTTGAGTTTTCACATGGGAACAGGTCAAATCCTAGTCTTGTAAGCATCTAACATCGACCTTTTGATAGATTAGGATTATTAACCGAATGACAAAATAAATGGTAATATCTAGGTCCAGAATCAATCCTGTATTGATCTAGACTACACTCTTTGAGAGCCTCAATAAACTAGGCCTAAGAGTCTGCTCGAACTGGATACATTCAAGCAGGGTTGCCATATCCCCAGATTTCCCGGGAGATTACCGGATTTTGACGTTCAAAATTTAGCTCCAGGGGATTACTGCAAAAAGTGAGAAATCTTGTTTTAACTCTCTATTAAAACACATTATATAACGGCACTTTTGGAATAAAATAAATGTTTGTGTTCGCAAATATCATTATGCAATCACTGCAAAATGCAACTCTCGTAATCTCTACTGATGTTTTTTTTTTACCCTCCGAGTGTCCCTTGTTTTGGCCTTAATGTCTCCTATATAATATTAATATGATATTAAATAAGTTCGTGCTCAATGAAATTGTATAAATTATAGGCCTATAAATATTTGAAAATAGCCACTTTGTTCTAAATTTTATGAGGATTACAAATATATAATCATATAGTGAGGTAAGTTATCAAATAAATAAGTTATGAGTGAAAAACAGATTTCAGTACATTGCGTTTAGCTAAGAATGCATAGCCTAACCATAGCTAGGAATCTGGCTGATAATTTACATCAATATCACTACCTACTTCTTCAGGATCATCAACCAGCCCTTCAAAATCACTTAAATCTTCTTATCATGCACCACGAGTATCACTACTTTTGATTTTTAACACTAAAACAATGATAAACGTAATAAAACACATCAGTCATCAGTCCGAGGATAACCAAGCTGTTTACTAATACGCACGTCAGCTGTCTGCTACAATTACGATCGGCTCGGAGAACATACAGCGCTGAGACAGACCTCTGGAGAAAGCTTATAATTTAACGAAAAGAACGATACCTAACTCGATCCAGTTCAATCCGATTCAGTCAGTCATAGAGCCTTTGCCGTAAACAGTGTTTGTGAGTCGCTGCAGCGACGCATGACACTCGGAGGGTTAAATTCCTTGGTTTCACTTTGGCCAGCAACGTCTTTAGTTTATCTTTATCGTCTGTTTCATTGTTCCCAGTCAATTAGTTTGCATCTGCCGGCCAGTCCGAAGGTATCCGTGTTCACTACCAAAGCTTAGCAGACAGAGAGAGTTTTGTTGCCTTTATTCGGTCATTTGTTATTTTTAGTGAGACGTGACAGGCGATGCAACATTTTATGTTTTCGCTTACCGTTTGAATATTGACAATGTAGCATGAATATTGAACAGAAACGTTATGGACTAATAAATATTTTGTACTAGGCTACACATTTTTGTGCACATAGGCCTAGGCCTACGGTATCTGTTTTAGTGTACATCACTGTAAGTTAGGATAGACTACACCTCTTTCACTTTCATTTCAGGAAGGGTCAAGAAATTGTATTTCAGAATAGTCATTTGTACCTATTTCAGAAATGACAATGTTAAGTGACGCTGTCAATCCCACTCTGTGGGTAAACGGCGAAGGAGGAAGTACATATAAGAGGTAGGTAGGCCTACCGGTATGTTAAGGTTAAAGTTAAGAGTTATAAGAAATGGCAATTTGTATTTCAGATGTAAAATTTTATAATTTTAGAAAGCGTAATTGTATTTAAGAATAGTAATTTTAATTTCAGATAATAACTTAATACCGTAGGCCTACCTACTTTACTTTTATTTTAGAAATAATTAGCTTATTTAAGTTATATAGGTAACTTAAGTAACTTAATATTCCATACTGTAAACTTAATTATTTCCATTCCAGAAAATATCAATGGTATTTCAGAAATAATTTGGGTAAACAAATTTGTTATCAGCATTAGGAATTAGATTTTGGAATGATAGAGTTAAGTTATAACAGCAGCTGTTTATATTAATTCCTGAAATAGGCTACATTTTACTACTTAACTCTGAAGTATAATATCATAGACTACTTCATATTATTGACAATCTCAAATTACTGAAATTCAATTTAACTTATTCTTCTGAAATTCAATTTATGTTTTCTGAAATAAAAGTTGCTGGTCTGGAATGCAAATGATACTTTATGAAATAAAATTACAAAAGGGTGTCTAGATCTAAAGTATAATAGCCAGAGACTAATTTTGAAATGCAACAGTGATGCTGAACTAAAATTGTATCGTTAGTATTAGACTATTAGGCTACCTGAACCTTGCCAGGCCTCTGCTCGGTCAATTTGGGTAGGGGCTTAATTAATATAGGGTAGGCCTACCTAGGCCCTAATTTTATATTTGACAAAATAAAAACTTCATCCTGAACCAATTTTAAATTGATTAAAATAGGCTAGTTGACATATATTAGTGTACAATATTTCTTACAAGATAACTGCATAAAGTGCAGAAAGCAACAAAGAATTAAATATATACCTAAATGGCAAGTCAACTAATCCCTACCTCTCCTATTGAAGGGTCGGACACGGACGGCAACTTTGATTTTGTCACTAGCCATGTTTGGGAACCTTATACGAGTTAACAACTTACAACACAATATTCAAACTTCACAATTATAATATTTTAAAACAAAAACATTCACATATTCAACCCATATCAAACAAAACACAAACACACTGAGAACTGAGGACACTGATCTGACACACGAACTGGGCAGAGCGCCATCTTTCTTCTTCTCTCATCCACTGCTCTCGGTATATCGATCGCAAATTTTCGACACAGTAAAATACCTACGTCACAATTACTTCATGATCACGTATCTCAAAGCGAATTCAGTCAGTACTATATAAAGTTATAGATTTTAGAGTAACTTTGTTGGGTATTTGCAGTGACTATCAATACAACGTATTTGTTTCCACAGATAAAAATAAAAAAACCAACCAGATAACCAGGTAAAAATGTTAAGGTAATTTGTTGAGTGTATAGAAGAAAGTTAGTAGTTATATCTTGTTTTGTATTTAAAATTGTTTTACAACATTTATTTAACTACAGTATCTGCATATAATTATTGTCCCTTGCACAGTTTGGTCAGTTATATTCTTTTCACTTCCCAACTAGAACTTTTGGCAAAACACTCCTGAAAATTATAAACTAAGATCAAAATAAGTTGGTAGGAACTCCATGCATGGGGGAAGTGCTAAAGTGATTAAATCAGTTTATAGTTGTATATTTATTTATTTATTTTTATTTATTCCAACGGGAAACCGTTTATTAAACCATTACATTGATACATTACAAAAAAATGTAAGACACTCATGTCAAGATATGAGTCTCGACCCATATCCTTAAGTTAGAAATCAAACACATAGCTAAACCTCTTTCTTGCCTTTTTTAGTAAACAGACGCTCATCTGAAGGAGTTATCCCCGGACAATCTGAAAATAAAACCACCCTTATCTTCAAGAAAGACGATCCAGCGCAACCCGCTAACTTATTCAGACCGTTTCCCACACTCCGCACTTCTCACCTTTACTACTGTACTTCATCCTTCACCACTTCCTACGTCGTGGACCTGTTAAAGTTTGCCAATTTCAAGATGGATCCATGAATGGGATTCACTGACAAATTGCGTTTAAGATAAAATGTTAAGACCTTATTTAGCCAAGTTAATCAAATCTGTTAAATAATGTTAAGAAAGTATGTTTTATTTATGTCTGTACAAATTCTATCAGTGGGAGTTTCAAAATTGCGACTTTAATGTAAACCTAAGACTTTCTCTGTATTATTTGATCAGTTGTCTTCATCTGATTTTTTCCCCTTATGGATGCGATACTCCCTCGTGTGGATTTAACGTCCACAGTGCTATCCTGATAATTAGGCTAATTCGTTAATAAAAGGCAAAAATGTGGTTCGGATCCCACTATAAACTGTAGATCCCTTTTAAGCTACTAATTAACAGCTGTGTAAGTATTCAATCAGAGTATTAAAGTATTAATTCTTATTCTTGTATGATGCAAGAAACTACAGGCCAATAGTTTTTCAGCCAGATCTAGCAAACGTTTTTGAGAGCTAGCTCTTGGTCCTCGATAGAATTTGAATTTCCTTTGCATTTAAGAGCACTATAATCACTGGCACAGCTTCAGACCAGGAAGATTAACCACGGACAAACTTAACAGTATTTACTGGTTGCATGTGTCTTATCCACATTTTCCAATAGAAAATCAGTGGGAGCCTTTGTGTGGCAGTTATATTAATGTATTGGCAATCCTAAAATGGGAGGGAAACAGGTCCACGACGTATGAAGTGGTGAAGGAAGTAGTAAACTAGTAAAGGCTTGCAGTGTAGAGTGTGTATTTTGTACTATATCTATAAAATTTTTTTTTTTTTTCATTCATTGCTAAGCCATGAAACATGATTGCTCCGCTCATCTGGCTTCACTGCTATGAAAGCAACCCTAGTTATAACAGGAGTGACGGCAGGGCAAAAACGCCAACATAAAGCCGGATTTACACTATGTAGCAAAACCTGCTATATAACTTTTGCTATAACAATGCTGTATAACTTTTGCTATACAAAATGTTACAGACTATTTTGTGATTCCGGTGCCCGTGTAATATGTAATATGCATTGACTATTGGATACAGAAGTCATTCCATCAGTTGGACTTGGTAAAAAACATCGTGTAATCGGCAGAAATCAGTATAATTTATATCAGAGCAATCTGTCGGTGGCTCACATCAACTAAGACAAATTTGATTAAAAGACCAGGAGACAACTTTAACTTTAACGTGGGGATGGAATGTCTCGAAGAGACATTGTTCGAGGCAGCTATCACGGTGGTCGGAAGTCAGAAGCTGAAGCGATCCATAATTAAAACGTGAAATAAGAGATTAACATGGTGTTCCGCTCCGCTTCTAGGAAAACAACAACATTAAATTACCTAAGACAAGTGAAGTCCGCTCTCCGCTCCCCACCTCCGCGCGCCTAGGAAAACCTGGCTTTAGTCTAAGATCTTCGTGACGTTCCAATCTAGTGAGCTGAAACCCTACTGGACTGAGGCTGTTTTAAGCCTTCGTCCTCTTCAGCCGGACCCATTAGTGGGTCGCCGGAATTTTATCCCCCTGGAATTTTACCCCCTGGGCAAAGCTGACGTCACTATGACGTAGTAACATGGGCGCTCAAAAGTTTGTTCGCGGGCGGAATTTTACCCCCGCGGATTTGGAAGTCTAATGAAAATAGACAGAGCATGATTATTTAGATTAGAAATAAAAACCGGAATTTTACCGCCTGTCCATCTGACTAGCGTTCAGACAACTGAAGATGTACGGGCCGGATTTTTACCCCCGGATTTTTACCCCCGGATTTTTACCCCCCGGAATTTTGGGGCCTTTTTCATAATAAAGTACAAACTAATATTATTAGTAAATCAGCTGATAGCCCAATGCAAATCTAATGGAAATTACAAGTTACAAGTAGTAACTTGTAACTTGTAGTTTATTATGAAATGGGCCCCTGGCCGGATATAGAAATTATTAAGATTGATTAATTTTCGTATTTCTATTTTTATTTCATTGTAAACATTTTATTATTAAGTAGCCTATCTTTATTTATTTATCTTGCAATCTCAACTAAGTAAACAGAATTCGCTGTTTAATTTTGATCATATAAACCAACAGTTGGCTTCAATGATCGAATCCTGATACTCGAATCTCAAAATTAAAATTAAATCCTGTTTGATTAGTTTATGTTACAAATAAATTAAGATACGATACTTAACAATAAAATGTTTGCTATTACATTAAAACTGAATGAAGAGAATTAACCATCCCCACTAATTTATATATATATGGCCAGAGGGTAAAATTCCGGGGGTAAAAATCCGGGGGGTAAAAATCCGGGGGTAAAATCTGGAACGTACATTTTGAGTTGACCTCATGAAGGGGGTAAAAGTCCGGGGGTAAAATTCCGGCCCGTACACTCTAGGGTTTTATTTATAATTTGATGTGTTCTGATTAAATTCACAACCGTGGAAATATCCGTTTAATTCCGCGTTTAATCCATCGAACTGGAATTTTACCCCCCGGTGACGTCGCGTTTGCCCAGGGGGTAAAATTCCAGGGGGATAAAAATCCGCTACCCCGGATCGGTCTATCACTCACTCTAGTCGGTCAGTCAGTACAATGTCTGTCAGTAGTTGCAGTTCTGTTCAGTTCAGTAGAATCCTCCTAGTTCAGTAGTCACTAAGTTAGTCCAGTCATTCACTTCACTTCACTACTACTAGGACTAGGCCCTCGCTCGCTTCCGCTTGTTGTTGTCATTGTCATAATGTCATGTCAAGTCATGGTCATGTCAGTTGAGTTAGTTGTGTAATGATTTGGTTTTGTTGTTATCATTGAATTAAACGTTTCAAGATTTTTTACGATAATGGTTGCTGTTTAGATTGACAATACTGAGCACAATTTAAAAAGTCTTGGGTAGTAATTACTGTGACAGTATAATATATTAATTTTGATCGAGGTACACTTATAGGCCTAATTAAATATATTTTGGACTAGCCTAGTTTCCAAAATTTTTTAATTACCGGGTTTAAAGAATCACAGGCCTATAACTTATAGTTTATCGGCCTTTTTAAAAAATGTTATGAATATAGAACATAAGTTACATAGGCCTACCTGATTACCAAACATACAATAGTTTAGTTCATCTCACTATTACAATAAGGAAGTTAAGTTGAGTAAGGTAAGCAATTAGAACACTGGAACAACCCTAAGACATTTTTTTCATTAAAAAAAATGGCTTCAGAATTTGTTGTTGGTTGGGAACTTATGTTTCACTCTGTATCAGAAGACGTAAAGACTAAAGAAGACATTTTGATTACATTGATACATTGGGTGTTGATAAAATCGAGATTTCGCTGTATTGGACTGGGTGACGATGTAAGTATTTTGTCAGTAAAAAATCGATAGGCCTAACCTGATTCCCGTACTATAGGACAGGCGGACGTACAGTTTCTTAACTGGGCTACATATCCTAATATCGATTGAAACTATCAAATTTAAAATATTGATTAATAATTAATATTTTAAATATTATAAATATAATCTTTAATGAAACCGTCATAACCTACCCTAACTAACCAAACTTGCTGATAATGAAAAAATCGCATGAAGGTACACTAATCGAATCGATAGTTTCAATTGATATTAGCATAGCCCAGTTAAGAAACTGTAACTGGACGAGCTAACCAGCTAGTAATTTTTTTAAATCTTAAAACATCGTTTTGTTCTGTATAGGTTAAACTTGAGAATCCAAATATCTAAGTTAAACCGTTTTTAATTGAAGATAAGTGAATTGGTTTTATACGTAGAGCATACTAAGATAATGAACTTGAAAAGTCACTAAGCGAGGAATAGGCTATAATTATTTTTGGGTTAGGAACAAACTTCCAGCGAGAAAAGTCAATCTCAGTCCTTCCGCATTAAGTATGTTACCATTAAAACACACTTCCAAAATTAAAATTTGTCTCAAGAGACGATCGTTACAAATTATCATTGACAGGCAATTTTTCTCGCTCACCTCACAATACTTTAGGTTCAATTAGTGCACAAACTAGCGCATTAAAAATTCCATTTATCTGCTCTACTCAATTTTTAAGATACCGTACCTAAACCTAATCCTATTTTACACTAGGCCCTAAATACTAAAACAATCTATTCTCTAATTAAGATATTACATTTTTTTAGTAGGTATCATGCTACAAACAGTACAGTGCGTTTTGAGTGATTTAACGTGAACGACAAAGTTGTATCGCTCGCCACTTCATGATGAATAATAAACAACCCGTTGGTTTTATTGAGAATTTTCAGACTAACTTGGGCCTAATAATTATTGAAATAGAACTGTTAATAAACAGTGTTCTCGCTCAAAGTGTGTTCTTATAAAAAAAAAATTTACTCGATTAGCTACTCTTTTAATTCACAAGTTTATAAACCTTATAATTTTTCACTTGTAAAAAATAATATTAAATATTACTAAAACATTTTTTGACCATGTCGGACTCGGTTGTTAATGCAGATTACATATAGCCTACGGTACCTTAAGTTTGATACGAGCAATTGATTTGTTTATGTAGGGAATCATGTTAAATAGCAGTATGTATACATATGGGACCGGCGCGCTGGTCCAACCCATGGAGTCCGCGTGGTGACATCCTGCAGTAGAACCACTTTCTCGTAGACTTGAGTCAGCCCCTAAATGTTGCTCATATTTTGTGTGTGTTTTCATTCTGCGTTTGCCCGGCCCGTGATAAAGTGCTTGTTGTATGGTTTTAGCTGGTGACCAAGCCATGTAGCTTAATCTTTCAATGATCATGTACAATTTTTATAACTATCTCACATGTTTTGATTCAAAAGCTCATACAAAGGAAAATTTAGTATTTTATTTAAGCTTATGAAAGTTTAAATTTACAATTTTACCAAATTTGTTTGCGGGATAGTCATAACAGTTTACTCCCATGAAAAGTTTACTGCGGGTGCCTTTATCTACTGTTTTGGAATAATTATGATAATTTAAATATATTTCTTTAGTTGGCTATTTCCGGTACTTTTGTTGTTTAAAATAAAATGTTTGCGTAATGAAACAAATTAAAATGTAAGTTAACTTGCTAATGTTATCTTGATACCTTGAAGAAAGCAGCCGTTGACCAGTAGACTGGAATGGGCCTTGTCGTTAAAAACTCAAAATGCACACACATGCAAAAAATAAAAACTTTTACTTGGCTTGGCGAAGTGGCTGGTTTTGTTTCCTACTTTCCATGAATTCAAAGAATTCCTCCACAGAGTAAAATGCCTGCTCTATAAAAAGTTTATAGTTATAAAAAGTTTATAGTTGTGCTCATGTACATCACTCCTCACCTCAAGCTCATGTCCTCGCTCTTTGCACCACAACAGGCAAGCTGACATATAAAGACAGGGGACAGTCATCACTCCTAACCGTTTAACAGTGGCCTGTACAGTGTTCCTGCTGACTCCATACTCCTGAGATTGTTCTGATAGTCTCTTTTTGACTAGCGAAAACTTCATCCCTTCTGGCTGCATGTCCCCATAGGAGGATCCCATAAGCAATTATGCTGTGGAAAAAGGCAAAATAGGCATACATCACACAGTCAGGAGTTACGCTGTCTTGTAGTCGCCTTAAAAAAAAAATTACTTTGTTGAGTCTCTTCAAAACTACTTCAACATGGTCCTTCCAATCTAACTCAGGGCCCAAGTGGAAACCCAATAATTTAGCCACACCTTGGTCTTCATTTTTCTTTAAAGAGAAAAACACACGTTGCGTCTTCGCCTCGTTAAGTGCCAACCCGTTAGCCTGAAACCAGACCTTGGCTTCATTGTATGACAACTCAGTATGTTCCCTCGCTGAGCCAAAATCCGCTCCCTTGGACATGATGGTTGTGTCATCAGCATAGATAATGGTTCTGCCCGGGATGCAGCAATCAAGGTCATTGATTATAACTAAAAACAGTAATGGTCCCAGCATAGACCCCTGGGGGACACCTATATATACCCTCTCTAAACCAGACTCCCTGCCATCCGCCACTACCAGCTGCCTTCTGTTCTTAAGGAAGCTTGCCACCAACCTATTAGCCTGATCAGATACCCCCAGACTTTCCATCTTTCTCAACACAAGTTGATGGCTGACACAGTCATATGCTTTCGACAGGTCACAAAAAACCGCTTCCACAACCTCATTATTGTCCATTGCGTCCATTACAAAGGTACGGAACTGGCATACTGCATCCACGGTTGATCTTCCACTTCTGTAATCAAACTGTTGGCTACTTTTTGAAATAAGAAGGCAAAATATGATTTTGTAAGTAGGTAGGACCAAGCCTCTTTAATTTTTATAACTAAACTAACATAGGTTTATATGCAGGACTTAATCTTAAAATTCCAAGGAATAGATCTAGTCATGTATACTAACCATAAGCAAAACCTACTACCTTTTCATATTTGGTTATTCCAGAGCACATTCACTGTCGATGAACCTGGTAGCGAGCTACTTCCTAAAGGATGGAATACCAAAAGTACTTATGCCATAAAATACACCCTGGACAGTCAGCTGTTCATCCTTCGTGGTTTGCTTGTGGATGAAGAGTTTATCCTCAATTTGGTTGTAAGTTAATATGTCCTACTATTTTTTGTTACATTTTACCATAGACTAACCAACACAAGTAGACTTCTCATCCCATTGTAAATTTTGAAGCACGTTTTTCGTGTCTAGTTCATGTACGTGACACAAAGGCGCTAGTGTCGACGAAACTTTGTTTCCATTATTTTAGGGTTAATTTCTTGATTTGTGCTTTACTGTTTGGTTATATAACTAGGGGACAAGTTATTGTTTATGGTTAGATCGTATTATTTGGTTAAACAAGGTTTAAAATGGCTGTAATAACGGGAAACAAATTGTAAACAAAACACGACCTCTACATAAACCGTACAGAACTAACAATAAAATTGTCTTCAGCTGTTCCATAAGGATGAGAAATCTACTAAAGGGAGTATGTTTTATCTATGATTTTACCTAGCATCTTTTTACATATTGTAGGCCTATTTACATTGTAAGTTAATGGTCAACTTTTTGTTAGGGGATGATTTTTGTTTTTGTTGATTTTGTTAGGGGAAAAGTGTTCTTGGCATTTGATTTGATTTGATTTGATTTGGCATTTTTACATAAAACCAGCCAGTTTTGAGTAATTTAAGTTTAAAAATATTAAATGGCCGCCATTTTTGAAATTTTAGGTTGAATCGAGATGATCTTTTTTTCTAACACGGGTCTCTTCAATCTTACATACCAAGTTTGATAAAGATTGGTTGAAAATATTAAAAGATAATAATTATGTAAAAAATACAAAATGGCGGATATCTAGTTAACAAAGCGAATTTTGGAAAAAATTTTATTCTTGATTTTCTTTTCATTTTTACTGAAGGAATCACTAGGCAAAATATGTCCCCACCTTTTTTGAACACCCTGTATAGATTTATATATGTGTCCGTAAACGTGATAACTTGAGTCATTTTTGTCCAAGTTTGATGAAATTTAGGTTTGCAGATACAGGGAAGATAATGAGGTGGGTTTTGTTTATGTTGATTGCTTAGTATGAAATAAACAAAATTGCCAAATTTGATAAAAAATATATTCATAAACAGGCAAACTACAACAGTTAATATTCTCCATAAGAATGACATGGAAATTTTATACAACAACGCTTTGATTTACAAAATTATTTTTTTTTAAGCTTTACAAAATGGACTGGAAAAAATTAAGAATTTTTATGTTTTTACGGTAAAAAATGGGGAAAAACAATTTTTACCCCATAAACCCCTTTTCCATTAGTCCGATTAAGCTGGTTTGCAAACTCGATCAAATCAATGTAGGCATATTATAACTTATAAACATTGACTTCTGCTTATAAATATTGTTCATCTCATTTAATGTTGTTTTGCAAGGGCTGTACACAGTAACTTAGTCTATTTGAAATACTTGCCAAAAACTAATTATTAACTAATAACTACACTACAGTCGGGACCACGTAAGTTTGCAGTTGGTGGCAGCCAATCACAAGACAAGGCTAGTGCGACATTGCCACATCACCTGTTGACAACACTAATTAAAATATACTAAGCAATATTTTCAAATCAGCTGGTATTATTAGATTTGGCAACACCGCACGGTTCTCATTGGTTCATTCAAAACCATATGGTTAATAGGCTCCTCCCTCAACTGCAAACTTACGTGGTCCCGACTTTAAGTTATTCCAGAAACCAACAACCAATTTAATGCATTACATTCACAGACTGTTTAAATATCCATATTATTTTTTGTAGAAACATGTTACCAATAACAATAACAAAATTATTTTTCAGAGAGTTGCTGATAAGAATGTCTCAACACTGACACTACGTCACAACGACGTGGTGAAAGCCACTCAGGGGTCGTTGGAAATGCTCGTTCCTACACATACTGAGCTGTTTAACACAATGAAAAATGAGATGATAGTTCCACTAATTAAGACGTCGAGCAAGGAAGCAACAACACAGACGGCAAATGTACGAGTGTCCAACCAATCTCCTAATTTACTGGGTAGATCACCATCAGCCGATATTGAATCCCAAAGGTGAGATGTCTAATTTGTATAGAGGGATTGTACTTGTGATTTGTTAGTTAGGTTATTTGCTAATTCATGTAATGAATGTATCAAATGACACAGGAGGGTTTTAGCGAATTTCCCTATAGGCCTATTACCGTAGGTGGAACAGGGAGACCTAGACCTGGGACCGATTTACTTTTTAATTTTTCAAAAATCTGCCTATAGCGTATAATGCAAATATAATATACTCGGATATAGATGAACAAAAATACTTAATAGGCCTACCTAAGACCTTAAGAGGCCGCCAACCTCTTAAAACAAAAAATAAATAAATAAATAAAATAAATTCTCAACCTGATTTACTTCTATAATCGTTGTTTAGTTTTATATGTGTTGTATATAATTAAATATATTCATTTAAATGGAGGAGTAATATAGAGATAGGAGTGGTTTTATATCAAGGCCACCAAAATTACCCTCGGAAGTCCGGCAAAAAAACCTTGCACCGGCCCAGACTCTACTACCAATAGTATGAATAAAATCTCTAATTTGTTACTAATTAATAAAAAATAATGAGATACATTTTGCAGTATGTCATACAGTCCGAATATAAAGTGTAGTTGGCCTATATTTTTCAAACCTACAATGACAACGACATGTATTTTTAATTTACAAAGTTTAGTAACGCATTGATTTAATATTGTTTCAATGATGGTGGGGGTTTATCTTTTATAATACTGTAACCAGATGTTTTGCATTAGGCCTAAATAAATTACAAAATTAATAAACTTAGCAGTAAATCTATATTTATAAAAGAGTAAGTTTGTATAATGTATATATATTTGAACGTTATGGACTCTGAAACCGCTCGACAGATTGTAATGAAACTTTCAGGCATTATTCAAGGATGGTTTGTGTGAAGTTTGGTGCAGATCCGTCAAAAGAGCTCCGCCCCAGGGAAAATGTTTATAAAAACCCATTGAATTTGTATCGTTTATTTCCCAAAAAATAATGTCTGGGAAACGAAAGTAGCCAGTTAATATTTTAAGTTAGTGCTTTTAGTGGATTACTAAAAGTTTATCTACATACAGCAGATCTATGGAATAATAATTATTCTCTTAAGCGTTCTCTTCCCGAGGCGAAGCACGGGTATGGTGGCAAGTATAGTATAAGGGATCTTACATCATTAAAAATTGGAACGGGTTATTTATGTACTGATATTGTAAGTTTTATCCTACTTAAATTACATCCCAAGGGTATGACCAAAAAATCTAATAAAATAAATAATAGCCTGATTTAAAAATTTAATCTGAATGAGTATATTTTACAGGCACTGTCTAAAAAATATAATTAATTGTGATTCATGCAAAATAAAAAGGTACAATGTAATAAAAGCAGGCTCAGACGACTGTTACCTACTCATCCTCTACTGAGTTACCAGGGTTGCCAGTCGAGCCATATATATATCTTGTTCTGCTAATGACAAATATAGAGGAATTCAGAGAAGGTGAAACCCTAATGTTATTCTGGAATCTAGACTGATTTCTTAATGAATCAAAGCAAGGTTACTGCTTCATAATTACTAACTGTCCTCCTATGGTTGTTCAATTTAACATGTTTACTGCTCAGGGATTCTTCACTTGTGTTTTATTTTGTACAATTTTCAATAATTCTTGGTAAGTTTCTTATAAATCATTGCAATTAGGTTTTGAGTTGAAGTTTTTCATGAAATTAAGATTCCAAGCTTGGAGTTTTGAATGTTTTGATTATACTACTGAAGTTCATCTTTAGGTCTAGACCAGGGTTGCCACCTTAGGTCAGAAAAAAATCGGGACATTGCCCCCCTCCCTCCCGGATTAACATAGGCTTAAATATGGGCATAAGGAACCAAAATGGGGACTGTCCCAGCAAAATCGGGACGGGTGGCAACCCTGGTCTAGACTAGGCTACTGTAAAACAACTTTAAGTATAACTGTCAAAATTGTTATTCCTCATCCTAATAGGGGTTTCTCACAATCTTACTTAGTATATAAAACACTCACATGTAAGAAATAATATTTAAATTTGTATTTTCATATAATTTATTGTTGTCTCTAATTTTAGTTTGAATTCCTTATCAGTAACTATTGATCACTAACCATTCATTAGGTATTTTTAGCATTGGGAGTAAACTACCCTTTAAAAGGGTGTGGATAATATAATACCTATGACACTGTGGGTATCTTAAATAATTGATTGATTGATTCATTGAGGGGGGATACCAGTGTCTAGGTTGTATATTTCAGAAATCTGGCAAACCTAACTTTAATGTGGTTTTGTAATTTATTTATACTTTGGCAACAAAGTAAATTTTTGATAAAATTCACAGAAATTGTGATAGAATTGTTTTAACCACTATTACTAAAGCTTTGTAGATTAAAACAATAATCTTGTTTGTCTATGAAAAAACCGGTCACAGTCTTATTAACAGAAAATTTTGCTAGTACAGCTGGTGCCAGGTGATCAGACACCATTAAACCAAGGCTGCGATAAACTATGTGATTGGCCAAAAACTGTATACACTGAAATTTGAGTTGTGTTGAGACGGAAGCCTTGTTTCTTACAGGTCCATTTGTGTTTCCTTATACTAATTAGTGTGTAGAATATAGATATTGCCCCCCTCTCCGTAATTTCTTTTCTCAGTTCAACTTATGTAGGCCCAACACAGAAAAGCCTAGTAATGAGAAAAAGGGTTTTACTCAACGTTAATCACACTTGCGTGTAAAAACTGTGAGCGAGATTTTATAAACTAAATAAAAATAATTTCAAATTCAAGTAAAGAGTCAGTTGTTATATGATATTTCAATATATATTGTGTTAGGTCAAGGTATGCAGATCCATTTGGAGTAGGCAGCTCTGATGTCAATCCCTTTGCTCCGCCCGGACATGGGAACATCTTTGATCCGTTCAACAGAGATCCATTGAGGCCTTTCCCTGACCCTGGCCAAGGAATACCAGGAGGATTGCCAAGGTACTTGTGTCTGCTTAATGACATCTCAAAAGGAAATGAAGTATTTATTTTATGGTTTATTAAGTCATACAAATTTTGGATGATTATCTGGAAATTTTAGACTTATTCAGACTTCCTGTAGGTTATTAGTACCTAGCCCTGTAATTCTTTCAGATAATTTTAAGAGATAGAATTAAATTCTGCAGACTTGGGATTCAATTTATTTGAATTTTAGAGTAGATCACCTGCTCATGATTCACACAATTCTACATACATAAATCCCTTTGCTCATCGCACAATGCTCAATTGTTTGAGTATCTGTTTGGGGTATGGTTCTAACTTTCGAATCAGTTGACAGTTTTGGGCTCAGATGCGTTTGTTCGATTACGTGCCGGAAGCGACCTTGCCAGAAGCGACCCTGGTTGTAGTGTGAGTGCCACTAGCGACCCATTGTTTGATAATGGATTTAACAATGTTTTTACAATTTTGTACACATCGGTGTAAATGGCTTATAAACTAATCCTATTCTTGTTATAGTAATATGTACCACCTGGAAGAGCCCAATATTCGTCTAAAGAACTATTTTAGCATCTCTATAGTTTCCAGCTAGTAGCATAGACTCAAGTTATGTGTGGTAACTTAATCAAATAATTTTTCTTGAATTTTTATCATTTTATAAGAGCCAATATAATCAATTAACTTATCTTTTCTTTATTTTTAAATTTATTATCTAAATATGTAAATATAAGATGGTGGATGTGTGTTTGTATACTACTTAATCGCACGGGAACCACTCAAAAGATCTAAATAAATCTTCACTTGGAGGTAGTTTATAAAATAAAATCAAAATAATGTTTATTTCAGTTTAAAATACTATGTTACAATACTTTGTCAGTACAGATTTTATAGCTATGTAATAATATACTGACATAGTCATTAAATATGAAATACCTCTCACATAGGCTACTGCCTGTGCGTGAGAAATTTCCTCTATCGGTAAATAAATATTATAAGTTGAAAAAAACATGACAGCTAGGTAATCATTTGTTTGAAAGAAAAAAATAAATAATAACTACAATCAAAAATAAAGGTATACAAAATACCGGGAAGACAGTTTTATTATTTGGATAGTTAGTGCAACTTGGACTAATAGAATCCAGACAAAATTCAAAAAGCAGAAACCATTCGAATCGTCAAACTTTGGATGTTTGCTACTAGCCCGTTTGGAGATAGTGGCTCCTTAGAATTCAATGAAGTAAAGGTTTAACAATTGTTAACATATTATGTTTGGATTAGGGTTTGAAATAGATACTTTGGACTCTTTCTTCAACGTCCCGTCCGTTGCAAAGCATAACTACAACAGCTTGTTTTCATTTAAATTTTTCTTATTTCATTACGATATTAAATGGCCCTTCCATGTTTATAAATAACTAGGTGAAACCCGTCGAAATCCACGGTTACTTTCAAGGCTTACGTTAATTCATCTAACTGCAATAAATTGGGTGAAATATAGGCCTACATATTATGAGCATTTAGCATTGTTTAAAGAGTAATAAGTGTAAAAACACTTATGATATTAATTGTGTTAGTTGCCAAATTTGGTTGATCATTCAATGATTAAAATATTTCCTATACTGTACGTCATCGGAGTTATTATTAGTATGTTAAATGGTATCTCTTCCTTTGGAAGAACCTTTAAAAAAAAGAACCTTCCGGCAGGAGTATTTTGTTATGGATTTAATGTGATAGCAAATCGCTTTAATGGTTTTATAGTGAAATTCTGTTTGGTTTTTGTTAAGAATATAAGTTGAATCGGCGTTAATTCATTACTCGCCTCCCGCTCCAAATCCTTGGGTCGCTAGCACGGTAGAAAATTGGTGGGTCGCCTCCGGCACGGGTCGCTTCTGGCACGACACCGTTTGTTCCAACAGCTAATTATGCCTGGTTGGTGTTAAGTAGTGTTAACAAGTTCAGGGGTTTTAACAAAAATCTAAATAAAAATGCTTGAAGTGTTGAAAAATACAAAATAAAAAATATCCTATCAAACAATCTTGTCACAATGTTTGTCTAGCAATATTCGGTTCATACATGTTTAATTTATACCTTAAGCAGGAAACCCACTGGTCCGACACGTCACCTTCCGTCAAGTTTCCGACACCTTCCGTCAAAATTACTTGCATGACTTTAAATGGACAGTAACCCACTAGTCAGACACGACACCTTCCGATCCGACACGTCACGACAACATTGCTCTCTGGGGCATTCTTGTCGGATGTCGGATCCGTCATTTCTCCACTCTGCGTGCACCAGGCCTAGATTTAGTCAATGTCTAGCTTTGTGTGTGATCACAATATGTGGAACAGATATGGAACATGTGATCACAAGTGTGTGATGTTTTTGTACAATTATTGGTTATGGAGAAAATTAAAAAAATGGTTATTTTAAAATTCCCATATTATTATTATGGTGAATATTGTAGTTTGCTTTCTGATGGATATATTTTGTTCAAACTTATTTTATTTTTATTTACTTTATTTTATACTAAGTTATTAATATTTTACTAAAAACCACACTTTTTACGCTCCCTGTAGCCAGCAAGCCTGTATACTCATAAAACCTAATGTTAATTAATACATTTAATTGAAAATCAATTCAGGTAAATAGAAATTCGCTTAGTCGGCAGGTTTGCTGCGGCGGGGGTATTATTGTTTATGTTTTGAATTGTACTTTTTGCTAATTTCCCTAATTAATTAAAGTAAAGTAAAGTAAATTTTAAAAGTAATTGTAAAGTAAAGTAATTGTAACCACTAACCGGAATTACCAAGGTGGGTCTAGGAAGGTCCTTGACCATTGTAATCTCTCATACTAACAGAGATTGTCATAAATGTTATGGATCTTTTTATTATATGCTCTTGTCTCCCTAACTACTGCTTGTGAACAGTATGTGATCACATGCTCCATCGCAACTGGCACTGTTGGAGTGGTGGCGTATTTCTCGTCGGAGGCCTACTTTCGGAGCCCGTCGGACAAATGGGTTAATGCCTTAAAATTGCGGAAGGCGTCGGTAGGTGTCGGAGACTTGACGGAGGGTGTCGTGTCGGAGAGCGTCGGACTAGTGGGTTTACTGCTATATTGTTTAGCATGACTGTAGTACAGTACACTATATTTTGGTATAGACTATTTTTAGATTGTACATGGTTTTGGTCCCAAAGTGTCTCATTGAGAGAGAGTGTATTGTATGGTATAAGATGGCCTACTAAATAAAACTAAAGCTTAGTGGAGAACACATTTTGCTGACATGTGATGGTGGTTCATTTGATTTGTTAAAATACTAAATCTTAACACATTTTATAGTTATTTGGTGCCTCTTTGCAGAGGGGCTGTGCCTCCTGGAGCAAGGTTTGATCCGTTTGCACCCCCGGACTTACTGCCTCGTCCCTCCAGACCGAGGTTTCCACCAGACTCCGATCATCTACCACCCCCAGGGTATGACGACATGTTCATGTAATAATCTTTCATGCAAACCTTGTAAACTATTGTATTAAATATTTTTACGAAATTGGCCTGGTAGAAAGATTTATTTACTAATCACACCTAATTTCTACGTGCACCCCTATAGCAGTAAGTTTAGATAATTGCTAGATTAGATTATACTTGGGGCCCCATACAGCGCAATGGACCACAGTAATTTTTTCATTATATCAAAGAAACTAAAAAAAGTAAAGTTGAATTGTACAACTATATGCTCTACTATTAGTTTAGTGTGACCACAACTCCATTATTTATTTATTAAAATTAACGTTTGGTATGACAAAAATTTTCTTTTAAAATCATGGTTTGTTGCAGTTATTCACATTAAATAATTTTCCTTCAATGTAAAACTGTGAGGATAGATAGAGCATCATTGTACGTGGGATTTTTATTTCATCCAAATTTGGTTTAAGGAGGTTTTCCTGGTTGATGGACAATAGCCATTGCATCTAAGTATTTACTTTACTATGCAATATGCATTGGAAAACAACTATGGATTGTAAAAACTGCAATAACAAGATTTTGTTAATAGTACCTGCCAACCAATGCACCTTTGTTTGTAGCTTGAACTCTTCATAGGGTCAAGATCAGTGTAGTGTGCTGCTAAATTCTCTGGAATTTCATTTTTGGCTGTGTAGCTTATAACAAATGGAGGATCTTCGAGACAGCCATCATCAGATCTGAACACTGCAGTCGTTTGCATTTGGTAAATTATAATGCCTTTTGTAACTGTTCCTGTCTGTATTTATAACCCTACAGACTTTGGTTGATCTTCATGTGATTCACTTAACTTCTCCCATTCTTTTGGAAGCTTGGGCATAAGGATTTGCCCAAGTACCTTGTAAGGTCTCTCATCAAAGTCAATAGTATATTACGTTACTAGTCCTGAAAATAAGTGTTTACCGGACGAGTCCGGTACACACATTTTGGACGAGTGACGTACGATAGTTTACGCCATACTACTAAATCTGTACAAATCCTAATATTTCCACCAACTAAGGACTAAAAATCACTAGTCATTGAGAGGTTATGTTTTTGTTTATAACCCCTCATTGCCACCTAAATACTAAATACAGTACAATCAGCTGATTGGTGTCCGGTAAAACTCATTGCAGCACAGTAGTACGCAATGAAACCCCATTTGAATAAGCTAGCGGCAAACAGCTGTTTTCTGGACTAAATACTTGCGTGGGAAGTTCGTCAAAATAATGTAGTGTGGCGTAAAGTTCTTTTCAACATGATGACAGGTCAACAAGTACCACGGGTGGTACATGGTTTAATTATAATAATTATTATCTTATTTTGTTACTGAAACTGTACATGTAGTGTACAGTTGATAGTGTACAGTTGATAAATAAGTAATTATATCTAATTATTCCTATAAACACACTTTGTTGTTTTTTTTGTAGTCCATGGTAATTATTGTACACAAATTTACTTTTGACTGAAATTTCAATTGTGCGCCACCAGTGGCCACGTCGGAGCGAACATGTTAACTACAATATATGTAAGGTTACATTATCTTGATCGTCAAGTGATCCATTTAAGTCCAAAAATAGGATTACGCGCGTTGCGACGTCAAAACGTCATTGTCAAATCGCACAAAAACTTTCTAAACCATATGGTCACGTCACAGCCTTTCCGACACACAAAATACACATTACCGGTACAAAAATACATTTAAAAGTAGGCCTACTAACTAATTCGTGGTAAACGCGACGAATCTGCTCACACGCCGAGACTCGACAATGACACTTTGACTTTGAAACGCGCGTAATCCTATTTTTGGACTTACATGGATCACTTGGCGATCAAGGTAATGTAACCTTATATATATTTTATCGTCAGTGATTCAATCAGAAAAACAAAATACAACATGATGTTAACTACAGCTACAAAAAGCTATTCACGATAACATGTGCCCTTTCAAGGGCTGTAGGACGGTAACTAGATTTTCTGGATTTTTCCCAGCCTTGTAACCAACTCAAATCGATTTTTCGTGGCCCGTACACACCCATTTTTAAGTATAGAATTAAAATCCCACAATCCACTATTCAATCCCTAGTCCCAAGTATTGCGACCAACATATTTCAATTCTCACATTCAGTGCTACCTCCGACTGTTGTTCTAGCTCAGTGATATAAACAACTTAGCACTTCTATGGTAACTAATCCTTAGTTAAGTGGTCCTAAGTTTGTAATCAAATTCAACTTAGTTGAACTGAGAAATCGAAAGATTGTGCTGATTAAATTAATGATTTCTGTTGAATATGACTATTAAACTGATTGTTAGACTAGTTAAGCTGAACAGGTAGGTCGACTTATTGAAGCTATAATATCTCTTATGTCTGGTGAACTACCTTCAGTAACTAAAAATAAGTTATAAAATAGAATTTTAGACTGTCTCAATCTATGACTAGCTAATTCACTATGTTCATTTTTGATAAGGCTGGCATCAGCTGGTCTATTAACTTAAACATGCCATTGGCTTTTGGATACTGAAGTAGACATAGTTGAGTGAGTCACTCGAAGAGTGTGATAATGTCAAAATTGAATTTTCTCCCTGCACTTTTTTGCTACTATAGGTAGGTGGTGTGACATCAAATTAGTGTACTGAGTTGTGTACTTTCAGTTTGGAAAAAAACTTTAGAATCTCTGGGCAGCGGAAGCTGTACCTCTTGCATCTTACATCGGCGCTCCTCTTCACAGTCGTGGAGACCGGAGAGTTGTCAATTTCTTGGAGGGAGTTTGTTGTATTTATGTGTGGGTGTTATATGTGGGTGTGTGTGTGTGTTTTATTTATTTTAGAAGTGTGTTACTTTGTTGTGGTCCTTGTAGAATTCCTTTAAGTTGTAGTACCGGTATGGCCTGTTCAGGAGGTATATTTTAAGGCTAGTGATGAGTTTTTTTTTTGTTTCGTTTATCGATTTTATGTTTTGAGGAAGAGAGTTATAGAGAGTTGTTCCCATGTATGTAGGGGTTTTACTTGTTCTGTGTTAGTTTTGGTTGAGATTTTTCCCTGACCTAATATTGTACCTTATATTGTATTGATGACATTCTTGTCTGGTTTGTGGAGGATCTGATTTGATGGCGATGATTGTGTCAAGGATGTATTGGGAAGTTAGAGTAAGGATATTGGATAAATAGTGGCTTGCAGTGTTCTTCATTTTCGACCCTTGAGATAATTCGGACAGTATTTTTTCTGATGATTTTTTGTAGTCTTAACCTCTGCTCTTTGAACAATCTGTCAAATTAAAGTATTTACAACTACTTCAATTGATATATTTACATTCATCCAAAATGTAAACAAACATTTAGAAGCCCATAGGGCATAGCCCTAGGGAAATATGAAAATAAAATGAATATTAAATCATGATTTAATATTTCATTGTCATCCTTTTGTGAGCTATGTTTTTAGTTACAAGTCTAGCTCATCGGGAAGTTCGTTTAAAATCTATTGCAAAATTTGTACCTAACAAACAAGAAAGCGAGCTAATAAAAACTTTTTTAAATTGCTCTAATCTGAAGAAGTTGGAGATTGCTGTAAATACAAATTTTTAAATGCACATACTGAGTTATAATATCAGGAAATATTATAACTCAATATTCAGGAGGAATATTCGATAATTCACTGATGGTCATTGCTTTGTTGGCTTGGAAAGAATATGCAGTTAAATCTGTTCCAATTGAGTTGATCCACAAATTTGTTCTTATACTACTATTTCAAGATTGTGCAATCCTGAATGCAAATTGTGTCTAGCTTAGTTTGGGATGACAGCACCATTGATAAATTAATTAAGAAATTGAAACTGTTTCATTAAAATAACATGCCATGACGTAAACCAAGGACTGAAGAAAGGAGATTTACTAACAGACAGTGGTGTTTTACCTTTTTTATTGAATTATTTTTTTTTACATTTATAATTCCAGTGTAGTATTTGGTTTTCTAAATTGTTGGATCATTCATGCATACATCACACATTTTACAAGCATCCTCACAGAAGGTTGAATTAAGTTAAATAATGGATTTAAATGGGTTTTTACAATGTGAGAAAAATTGTTGTTGGAAACAATGTGATTACAAAAATAAAATTACTGAATCCCAATTTTACTTATTGGACTTATCTTAGAAAAATTAGCTTTTCAGGCTCCAGTGGTGGGTATGGACAGACCAACACAATATTGCGTCAATACAATCAACACTACAGCCTATCTTAACGAAATCCTCGCAATGTTAACTCAACAGAATACAATTAAAATTTCAAAACGCTCTTAACAATATATAAATCTAGAGTACTATCTCGGACTAAACGATAAATCATAATTAAAGCGAACTACGATTGGCGAGCTAACTCGACAGTACAGAAGGGAATCTTTCCAGTAACGTTTCATGATTCGTGCCACCGTTCATACCATCCACTCGACGGTCTTGGCAGTGTTGAGGAAAATACGTCTGAAAATAGAGTCTGGAAAATAAATAGTAAGGCGATTTACAATGGTGATAGACAGACTGTAACAGTTTAACGTGACAACAACTATTACGTGAAGCGGGGTTACGCTAAGTGTAAACTAACATGACGGTAAACTAAATGCAGCTGACCACTGCCAACGTCTAACAATGGTAATCGTCCACCATAACTGGAAAATATCGCTTTAAATACTATAACACAAAATACTTTTGTACGAATACGCGTGTACAGCTTAATGATGAAACGAATGAAAGACTGAACATACAAACCGAGGTGTCACTAAGATATTAGTTGTTAACACTGTAAACTTGCAGAATATTGTAATTCGAGTTAAACTATAAAACAGAACGCAGGAGTTTACTGCAGACAACAGGAGTTCTTGTGGCCGTTCTTCATCTTGAGCCGAGACTTTGGCCTGTATTTCTCCAGGAATGCCAACTGCTTGGCATTAATTGCTCCTCTACGTTTCCTGCAAACAGATTCAAACTGTTATGATTTTTATTTTATGCAAGGTTATAAATGGTCACATTTAATAATCAATTCACATTTAATTTAAGATTAGCAAGCAGTTTGGTATGTGCCCTTCAAAGTGTTCTCTTGGCACGGTCTGAAGGTGCTATGATTATCAGGGAATCATTTGTCGGGCAATGTATGGAGAAATACAACCATTGCTCTCTTTTGGTGCAATTTTTAAATTTACTTTTTGGTTACTCATGTCAGTAATCAAACATCTAAATATCTGTAATCTGTACAGATGTTTATCCAAATCTTTAGAGCAGTCCTAGATGAAACCTTATATCCGATTTTTAATAGCCTGCCCAATCTAGATACAACAGTCACTGATATTAACCAGATATCAACCATATATCAAAATTAAATCAGATCGTAGAAAAGTAAAAATTAAAGAACAAAAGTTTCTTCTACACATCTTACATCTGTTATAATGTTACTGTTACACTTCTTACAATGTTTAACAAAAACGGTGTCATGCAATCACTTGGCTTATCTAGGCTATAATTAATTCTTTTTGTTACATGAGAATCATGTTTGTTGTGGCAAAAAATGGACAAAGAACTATTGTGCTGTGTATGTCAACAAACTGTTCTTGTTTGACAAAGGTGCCAAAAGTTTTCAGCACAAGTGCAAACTTTTCAAGTTATCTTTAACTGCTCATTTTTGTTGAACAAAAAAATTATAACTACAGTTTACAATAAGCTAACCATTTAGTTTAGCTTCATTAAAAAATCTGTAAATAAGACAGAAATCAGCAATTCTCATCAACACACCGAGACTCAATTCAACTAAATCCTCGGATGTCTAGTTGTATCCATAAGGAGTAGGTCTACTAAGCTTAGGTACTATTCAAGCTGACTTGATATCATTAAGCTTACGATAAAATGTTTACTTAATAAATAAAAGAAGCCTAAGCTATACAATGTAACTTGAGGGCAAACCTCGACAAAGGACTAGTCTACTACATGTACATTGTACAGAACCAGCTCTACCAGTTTGGATATGAATTATATATCATATATGAGCGTGGGCCTTGTACATTCTCCCGGGAAATTCCACCCTTGTTTGTCATAGTTACGGCAAAATCCTGTACGTTCCAAACATGAACACTGGCTGGTGTTGCAATAAGAAAATATAGTTTGTATTTTATATGATTGCTTACGTTTCAAACAGGTACATTACACAGAATTAGCATATGATGATTAGAATCCATTAGGTAAAAAAAAGTATTGAGGTAGAATCTGAGAAATGACATAGTCCCTTATGAGTTTGATCAAATACAGATTTTTTTTACGCTATAAACGCAGATATAAACGCTTCACAGATATTATTTAGTGGCTTAAGGATTTTTCACTAATATTATTTCACTGGTACACATTAAAATGTTTGATTTAAGGCACATATTTGAAATTCTATAGTTTTTTACGGTCATGTTATTATTTATTATGGACATTGAAATACTTGTTTGAGTGGTATACATAAATATATATACTACTAGTGTTAACTAGTTTTCATGTTTTGGTAATCTTAACTGGTTGAACTTCAATTGTATCTTCACTTTCAACTCAAAACATGATTATAGTCTGCAATACAAAATAAAGATAAAAGTATAAACTTGAGATAACTGTGCTGTAAAGATAAATTTAAAGATTGATACTGTAACACCAACAAAGATATACAAGCTCAAACAATATTTATTGAACGTTTTGGTTGTTTTGCAAAACCACGAATACTAAATATGACTTTAATCAAACAATGACATATCAAAGAGCGACAATTGTGGTTGAGAAAGCTAGTAATTAGAATCAACCTCAAATTTGCGGCTAAGTCAAACCACATCAGTTTAGGCTACAGTTGATGACAAAAGCTGTTTAGATTAATTATTTTCAATAGTTAAAATTAGTTTACAATTAAATGCTTTTACATCAATGGGAAGTTGGCACCGGGGGTAGGAATATAAGTTTTATTACTTACAAGAATAAATTTTAAAGGCATAAAAAATTGGAAAAAAGGATATATAGGGGACATTTTTTTAAAATTGGATTTTGTCTGAAGATGGGTGGCGCATTTGCAAAAACACTTTTGATAGCAACTAGTTTGGAAATCACCACATTATATCGTTTAATGGAGTTGGTCCATAGAAGATAGTCATAAATTTAAATCATACACACTACACAGTTTAACTTCGACCACTTGGATTGATGGATCAATTGGGACCGGACCACATCCAGTTAATCAAAAATCTAAAAAATTAGATTTTGAGTGAGGGCCAAAATCTAATCTTTCATATTTTAAACTTAACTTGAAAACGTTTTGAGGTACTGTCAAGTTATTTGGGAATATTTTTAGAATCTGGGACAGTTTACTGAATTGAGAGATCTTGCGACACTGAATCATTCATATTATGAATGTATGGCAATCATTAACCCTCATCATGTTCTTACATTACATGTCAGTAATTTGGTCTAATTGAGTGGTGAGTAGTTGACTCAGCCGGTACCTAGACTCATGGTGGACTAAGTCAGTTATGTCTTGGGTTCACGTTCGCCGCCACTAATATTTATTGGTATAGTTTATTCACGTACTGTACCAACTCACTTCTCGGTTTGATTGATATGTTTTACACACAATCCGGGAGGTTCATGTGGACAGGCAAAACAAAGTGCAAAAGAGGTTGCCAACTTCAAAAAAAAAAAATTAAAGTTCAAAGCATCGTATACTCACTGTCTAATAAGTTCGACAGCATCTTCATACTTCATCCCTAATTCGATGAGGGCCAGTGCTACCAACACTGGTGCTCGTCCGAGACCAGCGACACAGTGAACTGCAACACAGGCCTCCGGGTCTTCTCTGAACCTCTTCTTGAGCAGCTCAAACCACTCGTCCACCACCTGCGACAAACATGGCAGTCAAAACATGACAAGTAGACAAACAAGAAGCTCGTTAATTTTATTCAGTTCTGTAATACTTTGTAAATAGTAAAAGTTGTCTGTAAACTAAGGTCTCCAACGAGCGCCAGTCACAGAAAGCAACCTATAGTTAAAATATTACAACAGCACAGTATTTTTACTTCTCTGACTATCCCAGCCAGTTCCGCCTCCTATCACCACTTAAGTTACAGACAATCATAGTGCTTTTGTAGTTTAAGAGTCCTTGGAGGCTAGTGGCCATCTTGGATAATTTCAAACAGATACTGGAGAGTTAATTATCATTCAAAAATTGTTTTCAAACACCAAAGTGATTATAATGTAAATATCTAGAATGCTCTGAGATTAGAAATGTTCTTTGTTACTTTGAATGTATTTCCAAGGGAGTCCATGGAAGCCAACGGCTATCTTGGATTTGCCCGCCATTACAGCAATGTTAATTTTGTTATTTTCAAACAGCCGCTAAAGAGTTATTTACCACCTCAAAATATTTTTTTTGTAATATCAAAGTGATTGTAATTTAATTATCTAGTATATTGTGAGAATATAAATTTGCTTTGTAGTTGCTCCAAGGACTCTTAAGCTGGGGTGTCATATAGGAAAGTACTTAATCCAAAATGAGTATAAGTAAAATAAGTATTTAATATGAGCAAAGAATTATTTGTAATGAAGTGAGATGCCTTTTTGTTACTGACTAAGACCAGGTGGTTCTTTAGCCAAGATCATTCAATAAAAGCCCAATTGTCAAGAGCAAATATGTCCAGTTTCAACCATCAACGCCTGTACACTCCCAATTAACCGAGGTTGTTGGGGACGAGACTACCTCGGTTACCAAGAATCTCGGATAACACGGAGGTTGCATAGATTTTGAGGTTAGGGTTACGGTACCTTATTATGAAGAATACTTGTAAAATAGATCTTTAAGCAACACATAGCAAATGAAAAAAGATAACATGTAATTTTGATGCAACCTTTTTTCCAAAAAGGCTAACGTATTAATTCACAAATTAAAATGAACTTTATTTATAGTATGTACAAAACATACAATAAATAGTGTCAAGCTTATAATTACTATGTACAAATACTTAACCTAAACAAAAAATACAGAAAATAAAACTATCTACAGCTGTATACATTCATAAAAAGTTCATCTATTGAGTAGATGGGTTTTTCTATCAAAAATTCTTTAAGTTTTTGTCTAAACTTTTTTTTATTCTTAATATCTTTTATTTCATTTGGTATTATCTTTAAAAACTTTACACCAGCATATGAGGGCTTATTTTTATACATTTCTAAGTTGTGTTTCGGTAGAACTATATTTTTTTTGTTTCTAGTGTTGTATTGATGGGTTTCACAATGTGTTTTAAATTTTTCCTGGTTATTTTTTACATGTACGATACATTCCAGTACGTACAAACTAAACACAGTTAATAGTTTTAAATTGACAAAATGTTGCTTTACAGACTCATTATAATCTAGATTTAACACGTTCATTAATGCAATAGTACGAAATTTTTCATTCACATGGACCAGCGACACATATGCGACGTCCGGTTCCCACCCATAGACTGCCGTCGCATATATGCGTCAGGGTTCTAATGTTATTAAAATGCTTATATCTTTGTAACGGTCTATTTGAAGGCACTGAATTCCCTGCAGTGGTCTACAGAGATGTCTGACGCACAACTGCGTCGTTTGGTCTGTTCCTTGCTTTGCTGTAAACGATCCACGCACGGGCGCTTAGTCTATGTGGACGGACAAATGCAAGGTTAAAAGAGGCCGCCAACCTCTTTATTAAAAAAAAAAAAAACCACCTCTGAATGCGTAAAATATGTGTGCAGACTGTCAGTCCGCCGGACTACATGTAGCGGCACTAGCATTTCTCCTGCGCATTGGTACATCCCTCCAATCACTTGGGTGAGTCCATTCCGTACTACTTGTTGTAATTGGAGTTGTCTGATCATTTTTTGTACCGTGTTTGTTTCTTTGGTTGGCTGTTTAGTGAAAATGTTTCATACAGAGAAGTTTGTATGCGAGGTTGGACAAATAACAAAATTGTCTGGGTACATTCCATGGGTATTAAACATAACTTGAAACTGCCATGTTACCAAACGGCTTGATAATATAGGGTGTGACCACCAACACCTCGCATGACATTTCTTCTTACAAACAGCTTGCAGCAACAGCATACCATCTAGACATAGCCTATTGGAACGGCCTGAGTGTCACCAGTCACATTGTGTGAGGACAGACAGCGGCGTTTTATACGCTCGGGTAGTCCGGCCATCACATTTCTCACAGTTTGCCTCACATTCCTGCCCAATACTTGAGGTATACCACCAATACTTCCAGAAAAAAATTCTTATGTGGATACATACATAGGGTCGGTCAGTCAGTGTTATTGAACTATTCAACCACTTGATAGAATTCATGTTCGAATGAACATAATAAACTGGGGAGTACCTACAAACCAGTACTGACTTGGGAAGTATTAAAAGCCACAAACTTGAAATTGGAAATTACTATTTGTAATTAAAACAAATTCTGAAAGGTAAAATAAAAAGTCACGCCTAGTATGAGGATCTGCTGCATTTACTGAATAAGGTGAGCTCGCCATTTGAAGTAATAAGAGTCAGACAAAAGCAGCCCTATAAGTCTGGTACTTGTAGTGATGCAGGTTTGATGACAGCTTGGGATAGTCCTCACACTTCTCAATCAATAAAAGGCGAAAGAAGTTGTGTCAAGGAGTAGTATTAAAGCAATTTGGGAGTTTAAAATTTGAAATAAATATCATATTTGCTATTTAATTTATATGGGCATTGCGATACCTAATGAAACATACATTTTGAGTCAGGTTTTAGTAAATTACTACACTGCCCTGACAGACCATGGTTTGTGGTTTCAGATCAATCAGATTAAAAAGAAGAAAGGGCAAGTAAAGTTTGAACTTCTTTCCTCCAAAACCAGCTAATTTTTTTTCAGCAATATCACTCAATAAAGAAAAGAAAAATAAACCACCCATTCATGGTTCATTGTTTGGTTTATCAAAAGCATACCACACCCGTTTTTAAACTGCCACAAGTGCTTACAGTATAACTTTTTATAAGATTAAGGGGATACGCCACTATCTCCAACTTTTTTTTTATTATTTTATTTTTGTCAACCTAGTTAGTATATTTTGTTTATACTAGACTTAGTTAGAAGATTTAGGTACAAAAATATTGAATTTATAACTTATTTACTAAATTTATATGCGTTTTTAGTTTTTTTCACCAAAATTTTTAAGAATTCGTTATTGAGAATAACTTTTCAACTACTGATCAGAATGACATATTCTATTTATTTCCTGATTCAGGATGAAATAATGAGTAATTCTGTGTATAATCGTTATGGTAACTAAAAAAACCAAATTTTTAGGACACCTTTTATTCAAAATATAAAAAAGCTGAAAAAAATATTTAAAATTTTTGCGTAAACATAAATATTTTTAGTAAATGTAATGCTATAGGGCTTACTATACACACAATCCTTTATTACTATATAAAGAAGGTCTGGTGAAAATTTGAATACTATAAGTATAGTACTAACGGAGTTATTCAAACTTTTATACAATAATAACCTAAAAAACACGGTATTGAGATAATCGCAGGTGATGTAACAGGTGGTTGGCAGGAGAAAAATTCCCATAACTACACTAATTTATTATTTTATATTATATATAAAAATAGCAAAGTACTTATTTTGTTTTACATAAATGTACCCTACTTTATACCTTCATAATACATAATTATGATACACAATTAAAAGTGTACATATCAGGAACAAAAAAAAATAGTTCAAAATTTTGTTAAATTGCTGGTTGCGGCGTTTTATATTTTATTTTTTTTTATACTAGAAGGAGTTGTCAGATTGGCAAACAATTTTAGCTAAATGTTCACATTTAAATGACCTATCTAAAAATGCAACTTTTGGAAAATGTAAAAAAAATTTAAAATATGGCCTACAGATAGTGGCGTATCCCCTTAAGTTAGCAAGCTTCTGATTAAAAGGAAATCACTCTATCCAGTTGGATAGCCAGCTGATTATGCAAATATTAGTCAGGAGATTGAGGTCTAGCAATTTTAACTACAATTTCTTGATAGAGGGTGTCTAGTGAAATAAAATCAGTAGGAGAATGACAACATTTTATAGGAAATTTCACTAGATTGTAGATTTTCTACACTATTAACCATATTGAGATGTTTGAGGGACTTTTTGAAAGTTAAAATGACTCCAGCTGTGTTTGATTGTTGATAATTTATTATTCATCACATTAACAGCTGATAGTCTTAGTTAGTGACAAAGCTATTTGAGCCTTCCACCTGAAGAAACCAACAAACAACAGAATTTTTTTTTTTATCAATTATCAATTATTTAAGATGGGGACGCCAAATGGCAAGTCAATAACACCATCTAGGCATCTACAGTAGATGGAAGAATTCAAGAGCAATCCCTCTTTACAAATTGCTGAGCGCTAGTAGCAATATGAACTTACCTCAGAAGGTGGGGAAGTACCATCATCATAAGCTAAGTCTGTCACGTTGATGCCTACAGTCTTGAGCTCTTCAACTTTGTAGGTCGGCTCACAAACCCTCACTACGTCTCGTACTTTGTGCTTCTTCAGTTCCTGAAACAACCACAATCACCATCAATAAAATAAATGCCATGTGGACTTTTAATTGAAAGTAGGAAGTACAAATTAAAGTTATCAATGTAATGTTCCTTAACATTGTGGTCATTTAGATTATTTGTTTAAAGTTTTAATACTTTTATGTGAAATGACAACCAAAAAAGAAGGTAGGTATTTTAAGCCATGTTTGAATGGAGATGAGTATAGGATGAGTGGTCTTAATTTGCCCACAGATTCAGTTTCGATGTAAACTGTAGCCTATCAGAAATCAGAAACATAATAAGGATACTTTAGAAGTCAAAAGAAAAGGATTTGGTAAAACGCTCAATATGTAAATAAATACAAGCAATCTACTTTGTAAATCACACAAAGTCTAACATGAAGTAAACAATAGCGAATAGACATTCAACAGTTATAAAGTTCCACAAACATAATCTCAAGTAGATCATATCAAACTAATAATTAAATGGATTTTTGGAGTTTAATAGATAAGTAGATAATGAAAAAGCTTATGACTGGAAAACAAGATTTAAAGATTAAATACTACCGCCGTTGACTAAGTAAATTTCCATTTGCCTGAATTTATTTTAAATTAAATCTATTAAATTATCATTTAGGTTAAACGATTACCTAGGTTTGGTAAAATATTAATAGCTTAGTATAAGATAAATAAAGTTTGATCAAAATATATCCATAGACAAGCAAACTAGATTATTTTACAATATTTTCCATAAGAATGGGAATTTTTAAATTAAAATTTTTTTTAATTTTCTCCGTAACCAATAACCGGACAAAACACTTTGATATACTAAATTATTTGTTTTTAAGCTTTTAAAAAGGTCTGGAGAGAAATTGGGAAATTTACGTTTTGAAGAAAAAAGTGAGAAAATTACCCATTTTCACACCCCCCCCCCCTTTTAAACCCCGTTTCCATGGTCCGATCATACTGGTTCGCAAACTCATTCAAGTTTACCACTCTTACACCTTTAACACGTTCGCTACTGCAATAGTACAAAATTTGTTATGTAATGAGAGAAGTACCATTGAATACACACCATTGAATAAACACTTGTAAGGGATTAAGATGAAATCTCTAGTACATTTTTATCAGACACTGATTGCTGAGAGTTGTTGAGGTCTTGCAGAGATTGGATGGGTAGCAGGAGACCGAGACACATTGACACGGTAACCCACAAACCCCGTCAGTGAAAGTGGCCTCAGCCTCAATGTGATCTTTGTTGTAACTACTGACACACTGCGCTCCTCACCAGATCATGACCAGCTTCTCACAGTCAAAACTAATATTAAACTGTCTTTGACCAAAGAGTACGATTTTTAGTTTCGCTGCCAAATCGTTACTTGGGACTGGAGTGGTTGGCAACAGGGAGAGCTCAAACAGATGGGCAGCTCATGTCTTGTGCACTTCACAGACGGGAGAAAAAAATATGGGCGATCAGGGTTGGAGATGCATGGTACCAAATCCACCATTTATTTAAACCTGGGTAGCACAGTAACAGTATTTCAGTCAGAGGTCCTAGTAATTGAATGCTGTGCAAAATCCCTCCTGAACAACCTGAGAAAAGGAAAAAAATACTGTTCCTCTCAGATAGCCAAGCCGCCATCAAGGTGCTGCAGTTGTATGTGACAGAGTCACAACACTAAAGGGATGCGAAGACTCCAGCAAGACAAAATCAAGCAAAGGTTGTTTGGCTTCTAGTGCACTCAGGTTATGGAAGGGAATGAAAAAGCTGATGGCCTAGCCAAGAAAGGTTAGGAAGAACAGTTTTCAGGGCCAGAACCCTAATGTGGTGTCCCCATCAGCTTTGGGGAAACCTAACTCAAGGACAGGGGAAAGGTCCAGAAGGCTTTGCCTGGAGCACCAACCCAGGTTTAAGGACTTAAAAAATACTGATGGACCCCTCAAGGAAAGAATGGCATACTAAGAAAGGGGGATATTATAATGCTAGTAGGACCCAGCCTAGTAAGAAGAGGTAGTACTGTACTACCCCCTAAACCCCCCACACCAAAGCACTGCAATTGATCATAAAGGATGAGTTTTTAAATTTTGAACAATTTTAAAGGACCTTTAAATTACTCAACATATTCTAGACAGTACATATCCACAGGTTTTTGAAACTTTCAGTTTTGCTTTTTACAATTGAATATTTTTAGAAAAAGAAGAAGGTAATTTTGTCTGAGTTTTTACATCCATTACAGGATCAGTGATCAAAGGAGGTTGTTCAGATATTTTATCTGAGTACTAATTGACTATGTTATCTTATCTAATGACCTCTCCACTACTATGACCCTAATGCCTGAGCACACTGTAGCTGTCAAGTTGGTCCCATGCTCAGTAAAGATCTTGATATTTAGTACCTATATACATAGAATAATATTTTAAGACAGAATATGAGGGCACTATATCAAAAACTAATACATGACATATTATTTCCCAGTTTAAAAACTGTTCAAACACTTTTCACAGATACAGTCTTTTAGATTTTACTGACCACTTCAGTCAAATTTAATTTTAAATACCGGTACGCCTGTCGCAGATAAACTTTAGACTAAGCGTATTTCTATTTTCCTGACTAGATATCCACTAAAATATTCCTTAAAAGTGTCAGATTTATTTCTTCTTTAAATAACATTTATTTTAATGAGCACTTAAGTTTTCAGCTACATAGGTAATTAGGTGTTTTTTTTTTTTGAAATAGTATGAAATAAACAAAATTGTGAAATATCATATATCCATAAACTAGCTAACTACAGCAGTTTATTTATTCGCCATAAGAGTTACATAGGAATTTTACACTTTTTTATCCCATAAGCCCCAGTTCCCATGTCTAATCATGCTGGTTCGCAAACTCGTTAAATCAATGTAGGTTTACACATTTGTACGGATCATTTTTTCAAGTTATCGTGCTAACGAACACATATATATAAATTTGAACGGAGGGTGTCTGTTGCCTCTTGGTTGAGGGTCACTCTTACCATGTTTTGTCTTGGGACCTCAAAACAAAAATGTAAATTGGTCTCGGGTCTAGGTCTTACCATAAGACCTATGGTTATAGCTTATTCCCTATGTGGAAAATTTGCTAAAAGAGGATAAGTTAACAAAACATTATCAAAGAGTAAAACGATAGCTTGATGTATATTGATGTTCAATCTGATTGTTTTACAATATTTTATTTGGTTAAAGCAGCTTTAGAAACAGCAAAACATTTGATAGTTTTGCAGCGGTTACTAGAAATTGGTGATTTTATACTAAGCAGTGTACCTGGCGCATGGACTCGTGCGCAATCTAGAAATAAGAGAAGAAGGATTTAATAACTTCTTGATCAGCATTGTACGTGTTATTAAATTTACGGAAAGTAAATAAAGATACGTCTTATAACACTTTTAACATATATTTACGCTTATACTGTTACTCACAAGACGGTAAATATACAAAAGATGGTAAGTGGTGATCGATTTCGATTGGACACTCCAATCATCATCAGACACAATAGGCGAATGGGATTTTGTATATTTAACGTCTTGTGAGTAACAGTATAAGCGTAAATATATGTTTTAAGTGTTATAAGACGTATCTTTATTTACTTTCCGTAAGAAGGATTTGTATTGACCTTTTTTATTTGGCGTTTTCAGGTTTCTTGGTTTTGTTGCTAAATGTGAGGATGGTAAAGGTCGCAGTTTATGTGCCATTTTTGCAGTTTATTTATTGTGAAAGTCAGTAAAATATTAATCGATATAAAAAAATATTAAAGATTAATCGACGATAACCTAAATGATAAACCAAAGCCCCTCGTTCCCACCACCACCCCTGGCTTAAGTCTGGGACTTGTTTGCCAGGCCAATTCCCCGTGAAGATCTTTCTCACGCTTCAGCCACTTTCAATCCTCGTCCAGACACATTATGTGTCCAAAAGCCTAACAGCACGACTCCCTTCCCCATACTGCCCTGAGCGATAGGGATCATTGGGATTCGCTCTAATCTTTCCTCTCTCCTTCATGGGGAAGTTTTCACTAATTTTCTTAGTTTTTGTTTGTTTCTTTTTCAATTTAGAAGCCTGTATGTATCCCTGGTTTTTCGTATTTCCCTAGCACTTTCCTAAACGTCAATTGCTTCCTTGTCCCTAATCAAGTTTTATTTTCTCATCTCTAGACCTTTCCTATCCAAGACTTCTTCCTGTTCTCTCCTATTTGCCTCTTGAAGTGAACAATTCATAAATACGTGACTCACGGTCTTTATTTCTCTGCATATACAGTACATACTTCCTCTCCCATCAGGTGAAATCTCCACAAATTCGCCATTTCCATGTCCTGTGACAAACATGTGTTTTATAATGGCCTATTTCCAGTCTCTTGTTCAGCACACAAATCTTTTACATACAATAACCCCGCTCTCTGTTCATCCTTTTACAATATAAGAACCAAGTTTGTAGATCGGGTAGCTTGAACAATGTTGGAAGTTTGCAGGAAGACAAGCTCATTACAAACTGCTCTTGTCAATAAGTTTCCATTTTACCTTATGTTATTTTCCTACTGACTACTAAGAGTTTGTTGTTCCTACAGAATTTGTTTGTTATGTTGTTATGTTTTATACGGTAACATCGACAATATAGAGAAAGGAATTGAATAATCTGTTAACGACTAGGTCTGTTGTTAGTTCTTACAAGTATAAATGTAGGGGTGGTTGGCGATTAGTTACATGTAGAGAGTGGAACTTCTTGAAAGGAGGCCAAGGTTCAAATCCTCCGATCACAAATAGTTTTTTACTGCGTGTTTAATCCATTTGCTGTGAGCTATTCACCCTATATCTTATTTATTATTTTTCTACATAGATGTTTTGTGTTTTGTGATTGGTTATATATTGCATTTTGTATCATGAATTGACTGTTTCCAGTGTTTATATTTGACTGCTATTCCAACTTAGGTTGGGTTTGTGTATTGTTAGTAGTAAGTTTTAATTAAGTTTTTTTTTTACCTAAAGACAGGGTCAGATTTCAGGTCTTGTAACTTTGTGCACTGTATTTTACCATTGTGATGGGAGATGTCCGCAATAAACCTTTAAACAACCCTGTTTGTTTAATATAGTGACTTGGTTAACCAGAACACAGCTCCTAAAGTTGTAGATCGACCTTTAACAAAACATAGATCTCTCAGACCAAGAGACATCTTTGTTTTTGAGAACTCCCTTGACTCTTGACTAAATGTCACGCAAAAAAATATATGTAAAAACTGGATTGGCCTATACCGTTGGAAATCTGTAATATGCTTGGATTATGTTATATAATTAGGAGCATTTTGTTGAATTTCAGAAAATATGAGATGATTAACTAATAACTAATGAGTGTGGTATCTAATTAACGAGTAATGAAATGAGCTGTACAAACAATTTTTGTTTGGAGTAGAATCTGTTGTTTAACCAGGAGGATGTTGTTAAGCAATATATACCATATGCATAGCTCTAATGACAATGTTAATTTATTTCCCTGATCTGACAGCTCTGTAAACAATTCTATACTTTAACAGACCAAGACAAATAAGATAACCTCTAAGCTGAGTTGCATTCAAAGGTCATTTAAATAGTGAAAGAGGAAATGTGAACCAATGTTATCCAAGGTTATTCACTGATAACAGAATACTGATAGGGGATTTTTGTTTAAAGGAGGTAAATTAAAACAATGTTACTTTTAATAAAAAATCATGCAGTACAAAATATGTTTTGAATAAAAAAAAAACCACATTACTTGATTGATTAAAAAATAATCTCTTTCACAATCTAGGGAAAACAGAAATACACATTTCAACAAAACTTTACCTGTAAGATTTTTTATTTTTATCATAGGCTACTAATTTCATCATAAATATCCAATGAAGTAACCACCCAGCCGTTTCTTACCATGGGCATTAAATAATAATGATCCTGACTAATGAAACCGCTGATAGTCAGTAACAAAGCTACGCAGGTCATCACACACCATTCTACACTCATCCTTCACTCATATTTGGGTTAAAATACGCACCTAGGTGGCGTCTCCATCTCAATGATTGATAACTATAAAAAGTCTGTACTAACCAAAACCATTGAGGAATTTTTTATTCTCTCATACAATAAATATTTAAAATTTTAAAAGTCAGTTTCAAAATAGAACAGAGCCATCGGGTTTGAAAACGGGAAGTTATTTACAAGGGTGGTAAGATTTAGGGTTGCCATTTTATTTATTTCATACTAAGCTTGATTCATACTAAGCTATCAATTTTTCAATAAAAAAACAAACCTCAATATATTCCCTGTACAGTCAGCAAACCCAAGTAGGTAGGCTACTCATTAAAATAAATTTTATTTAAAAAAGAAATAAATCTGACAATTTTAAGGAAATATTTGAGTAGAAATCCAGTCAGGTAAATGGAAATTCGTTTAGTCTGCAGGTTTGCTATGGCAGGGGTATTTGTGTTACATGTAATATTTTTGATTAGTTAGTGTTACCTGGATGTAGTTCTGGATGGTCTGATCCGTTGGCCTGTCCGTGATGAGGAACTTCATGTTCTTGTACTCTATCTCACAGGGAGGAGGTCGGATATCTTTCTGCCTCATGTTTTCGATGACTATACTCATTCCGCACAATAAAAACTCGTATACGCTTTTGTGTGATGTAAGGTTTCACTTGAAAAATATACTTTCAATTCAGATCTACCGTACAAAATCTACGGATACAAAACACAAACTCGGCAAAATAAATACACAGCTCGGATTCACATTCACACTGAGAACGTACATGAACACAGAGAGACGCAGTTCGTCCACGGCTAGAGAGAAAAATTATATCGCCTAGGTAATGTTTACCAAGTCGCACCGAATGCCATCAAGTTGATGAGCCGGAAATAAAACACTCCCTTGTCTCTTCTCACTCTTCACCCCATTCACACGGCCTCCAAGGGCAGAATTTTCTTCCCGGGTCGCTCACCAGATGACGGTCGGTGCTAGAATGTGGCCTCTCGTCCTCGTCTGGGCTCACTCTTCACTCACTAGACTGTTTATTTGTGCTGAGCCTGGCAATACTCGGCACTATCCAGGTGAAACTCCATCAATGGCAGCCAAGGCTCTCCAAGGTACTGCAAACAAACCAAGAATCTGTTAGACAATGGTTTATACAGGGTCAAGTTTGGATCTACTGTATAAGCTTGGACTTTGCTGAAGGTCCAGTAGATCAATGGTCTCCCCAGCCAGGAGAAAGCACCAGACTAAAGAGTAGAAATCCCGTAACAAGTCAGTTAAGCCATGCAGCTCATCAGTTGTCACCTGTCTGTGGCAGAGTTGTATGAAACATGGTGAGGATGGATGGATGAACATGGATGAGATGGTTCGATCCTTAGTCAAATCTCAAATAAGGCATTTGGCTACTTTTCACTTCTACTGCCGAGTGTGTCCTCTAAAAGTTCTTAAATACATTGGATTACACAATTGTGTTCATAAAATGAGGGGAGAGCGAGAGTATAAGAGACTAAGAGTAACAAAAAAGTAATAATTAATAAAAAATCCCTTGATCTTAAATGGTTGTCAAGAATGTGATGCTCTTTTAGATCACAGGTTTCACATCTTTCTTCTCTATAAAGTTCTAGCAAGTAGTAGCCTATGGTATTTTTCCATCCAACCCACGGAAAGGGTCAAATTTATTCTTGGGGTAGACTTACCGTAGGTAATAAATGGATTCTTGAATCAGAAGCCCTCATGATTAAAATTGGAAACTAAAGTGGGTACAGTATTAGTTGTACATCAATTAATAAACCTAAACTAACGTACCGGTAAATCAAAATAAACAGTAAATGTAATAAAGATCTATCTTAACAGAAAGTTAAGAGTTGCTATGCCAATGAAGCTTGCTCTGCATGTGTTATACCATAGACTAACCAACACAAGTAGACTTCTCATCCCATTGTAAATTTTGAAGCTCGTTTTTCATGTCTAGTTCATGTACGCCACACTTGTGTCGACGAAATTTTGTTTCTATTATTTTAGGGTTAATTTCTTTATTTGTGCTTTACTGTTTGGTTAAATAACTAGGAGACAATTTATTGTTTACGATTAGATCGTATTATTTGGTTAAACGAGGTTTTAAATGACTGTATTAACGGGAAACAAATTGTAAACAAAACACAACCTCTACATAAACCGTGCAGAACTAACAATAAAATTGTCTTCAGCTGTTCCATTAGGATGAGAAATCTACTAAGGGAGTATGTTTTATCTATGGTTATACACAGATCAACCAATCCTCCAAGGAATGCAGTCGTAGGAATGCAGCACTCATTGAGTACAGTATAGGCCTTAAAGCCTCTTGACCTACAGCCAAAAGACTCATCATCTTTCTGTACCTATATAACCTTAGTTTATACTTTCGTTATAAATACTACTTCAAACACACTGGAACAAATTTTCCCATTTGGTCTTTCTACAATTGTCAGTTTATACCAGTTTAGATTTTAAAAAGAAGCTGTGATCTATCTGTTTACAGTAAAGTACTTTCGTTAATGCTTAACCGAAGAAGTTACCCAACTCTTAGGGCACTCCAGTTGATGTCTTGTACATAAAGGTTGTATCAAATAATATGTTGGTGTACTGCAAACACTTATTTTAAAAGCACAGCATAAAAAAATTTACTAAAAGTGCCGGCACTAAGTTTTTATACTTTGTTATACATTGTTACAATATAAATATAGAGTTAAGCAGGATGAATAACACAATTCTCATAAAATCAATTATAAACAAAAATAATAATAGATAACAAGTTTTGTTTATTTACAATTTCATCATGTGTTTCACACTTGTTGTGTAACACTGATTAATGAAATTGAGATCAAAGTTTCTGGCAGGAAATTACTGTTATCTGTTATGGTCAAATGGTATCTGCTTTTGGACCAATGAGGGACACCATTGATTATGAACATTAAGATATAACAGATGTAACAGCTTGCTAGCTGCTAAAAAAACACATTGGACCATCCATTTTGCATGTACAGTATTGCTAAATGTCTGGATCTTATTCTTTTGATCTTAACTTGGATCTTAACTTATCAGAATAAAATCAAAACTATTTAAATTTTGCTACCGATGTGTATTTGTTGTATAATTTGTTATGATTAAAAAGTTATGTTTAATTAATTAAGCCATGCGTTGAAATGATTTTGTTAAAAAATTATTTTTTTTCTTTTGGTTTTGATTTAAAATGGAATTGTAATCTCTTTACTGCTGAGTCTGCTATCAGCATGAGAACTACAAATCAGCATTCAACATGGCATGACATAACCAACAGTATTGACAGTTTTCAATGTCAACCTTGTATATCAGATTGTCAGAGTATCTGTCTCAGCCAAGTCTGGCAGACCTTTGTCTCATCTGTCTACTGCTGAGTCTGCTATCAGCTTGAGAACTACAAATCAGCATTCAACATGGCATGACATAACCAACAGTATTGACAGTTTTCAATGTCAACCTTGTATATCAGATTGTCAGAGTATATCTGTCTCAGCCAAGTCTGGCAGACCTTTGTCTCATCTGTCTACTGCTGAGTCTGCTATCAGCTTGAGAACTACAAATCAGCATTCAACATGGCATGACATAACCAACAGTATTGACAGTTTCAATGTCAACCTTGTATCTCAGATTGTCAGAGTATATCTGTCTCAGCCAAGTCTGGCAGACCTTTGTCTCATCTGTCTACTGCTGAGTCTGCTATCAGCATGAGAACTACAAATCAGCATTCAACATGGCATGACATAACCAACAGTATTGACAGTTTCAATGTCAACCTTGTATATCAGATTGTCAGAGTATATCTGTCTCAGCCAAGTCTGGCAGACCTTTGTCTCATCTGTCTACTGCTGAGTCTGCTATCAGCTTGAGAACTACAAATCAGCATTCAACATGGCATGACATAACCAACAGTATTGACAGTTTCAATGTCAACCTTGTATATCAGATTGTCAGAGTATATCTGTCTCAGCCAAGTCTGGCAGACCTTTGTCTCATCTGTCTACTGCTGAGTCTGCTATCAGCATGAGAACTACAAATCAGCATTCAACATGGCATGACATAACCAACAGTATTGACAGTTTCAATGTCAACCTTGTATATCAGATTGTCAGAGTATATCTGTCTCAGCCAAGTCTGGCAGACCTTTGTCTCATCTGTCTACTGCTGAGTCTGCTATCAGCTTGAGAACTACAAATCAGCATTCAACATGGCATGACATAACCAACAGTATTGACAGTTTCAATGTCAACCTTGTATATCAGATTGTCAGAGTATATCTGTCTCAGCCAAGTCTGGCAGACCTTTGTCTCATCTGTCTACTGCTGAGTCTGCTATCAGCATGAGAACTACAAATCAGCATTCAACATGGCATGACATAACCAACAGTATTGACAGTTTCAATGTCAACCTTGTATATCAGATTGTCAGAGTATATCTGTCTCAGCCAAGTCTGGCAGACCTTTGTCTCATCTGTCTACTGCTGAGTCTGCTATCAGCATGAGAACTACAAATCAGCATTCAACATGGCATGACATAACCAACAGTATTGACAGTTTCAATGTCAACCTTGTATATCAGATTGTCAGAGTATATCTGTCTCAGCCAAGTCTGGCAGACCTTTGTCTCATCTGTCTACTGCTGAGTCTGCTATCAGCTTGAGAACTACAAATCAGCATTCAACATGGCATGACATAACCAACAGTATTGACAGTTTCAATGTCAACCTTGTATATCAGATTGTCAGAGTATCTGTCTCAGCCAAGTCTGGCAGACCTTTGTCTCATCTGTCTACTGCTGAGTCTGCTATCAGCTTGAGAACTACAAATCAGCATTCAACATGGCATGACATAACCAACAGTATTGACAGTTTCAATGTCAACCTTGTATATCAGATTGTCAGAGTATATCTGTCTCAGCCAAGTCTGGCAGACCTTTGTCTCATCTGTCTACTGCTGAGTCTGCTATCAGCTTGAGAACTACAAATCAGCATTCAACATGGCATGACATAACCAACAGTATTGACAGTTTCAATGTCAACCTTGTATATCAGATTGTCAGAGTATATCTGTCTCAGCCAAGTCTGGCAGACCTTTGTCTCATCTGTCTACTGCTGAGTCTGCTATCAGCTTGAGAACTACAAATCAGCATTCAACATGGCATGACATAACCAACAGTATTGACAGTTTCAATGTCAACCTTGTATATCAGATTGTCAGAGTATATCTGTCTCAGCCAAGTCTGGCAGACCTTTGTCTCATCTGTCTACTGCTGAGTCTGCTATCAGCATGAGAACTACAAATCAGCATTCAACATGGCATGACATAACCAACAGTATTGACAGTTTCAATGTCAACCTTGTATATCAGATTGTCAGAGTATATCTGTCTCAGCCAAGTCTGGCAGACCTTTGTCTCATCTGTCTACTGCTGAGTCTGCTATCAGCATGAGAACTACAAATCAGCATTCAACATGGCATGACATAACCAACAGTATTGACAGTTTCAATGTCAACCTTGTATATCAGATTGTCAGAGTATATCTGTCTCAGCCAAGTCTGGCAGACCTTTGTCTCATCTGTCTACTGCTGAGTCTGCTATCAGCATGAGAACTACAAATCAGCATTCAACATGGCATGACATAACCAACAGTATTGACAGTTTCAATGTCAACCTTGTATATCAGATTGTTAGAGTATATCTGTCTCAGCCAAGTCTGGCAGACCTTTGTCTCATCTGTCTACTGCTGAGTCTGCTATCAGCTTGAGAACTACAAATCAGCATTCAACATGGCATGACATAACCACAGCTGATCTGGCTAATCAGCATAATCCGATGACTATGGATTAAGCCTACATAAGCGGGACGCATAAAAAGGAAATTTAGTTATTTCCAATATGCAAGACTGTTTTTCTAGACGAAATTTGGCTTTATTCTTTTCCTACAGTTACCTAACAATGTACATGTTCTCTCACTGATTTGAGAAAGCAAAGTGCCCAATTCGCTCATCAACATGCAGACAAGGTCGTATGCGCGCGAATACGTTGGCAGCACTGGCTGTAAATCAGCTGGTCAGCTGTTGTACT